TCCTCAATATTGCATAGAAACCCTAAATTGCAATTAGGGTCGGCGAAACGGGTGGGGGGTATAATTGGTTCTTTGTTTTCTTTCTGTTTTTTGTCTTTGTTTGTCAGTCTCTCTGGTTGGTATGTTTCTTCCTTCGTGTTTTACTTCCCATCCCTTTCGTCTTGTTATGACTTTTTGTTTGTTTTGTCGTCCCACCTGTGTGTGTGTGTGTCTGTCTGTTTCTCTGTCTGTCTGTTTCTCTGTTTGTTTCTCTGTCTGTTTGTTTCTCTGTCTGTCTGTTTCTCTGTCTGTCTGTTTCTCTGTTTGTTTGTTTCTCTGTCTGTCTGTTTCTCTGTCTGTCTGTTTCTCTGTCTGTTTGTTTCTCTGTCTGTTTCTCTGTCTGTTTGTTTCTCTGTCTGTCTGTTTCTCTGTCTGTCTGTTTCTCTGTCTGTTTCTCTGTCTGTTTCTCTGTCTGTCTGTTTCTCTGTCTGTCTGTTTCTCTGTCTGTCTGTCGGCATCTGTTTCTCTGTCTGTCGACGTCTGTTTCTCTGTCTGTTTCGGTGTCTGTTTCTCTGTCTGTCTGTTTCTCTGTCTGTCTGTTTCTCTGCCTGTCTGTTCTCTGTCTATCTGTCTGTTGTATTAGTCGTGACATGAAATTATATAGTGCTGAGACGGACCAAGTCAAGGCGACACAGAAGTCAGAGATGTGAGAAAAATATATATATATATATATATATATATATATATATATATATATATATATATATATATATATATATATATATATAAATATATATATATATATATATATATATGATTGAAGAAACATTTTTAGGAGTCGCTGTGGTAAATAAACGCATGTAAACACAATACAACAAGTACAAAACTTTTGACGAATCTGTAAGGTAATATTAATTAAGTCAGTACAATGGGATTGAACCTCCGTTCTTGATCTCCCTAGGCGCACACAATTGCATTTTCTCCCTCATATTTAAATAGGGTCTCGTAGTACACTTGGTTTCCTTCTCGACTCACAATCGTGGATGCCTGCTTCGATTCCCGGGCAGGAAACATATGGCTGAAACCTTTTCCTTTCCCCTAATGGACCTGTTCACCTAGAAGTAAATTGGTACCCAGGAATTTGGGAGCTGTTGTGGGTGGTTGAGTACCAGAACGGGCCAGTAGCTCGACCTTATGGGGGGGGCCCCTCGATGCAAGCCTAAAAAACATATATACACACAGGCTTCCTGTCCCCGATAAAACGATTTATGTAGGCATTATATTCTAACTGATTTCCCACTGCTGGGCACTGAAAGCTAGTGAGGCTAGTCGAGGTACCCCCTCTAACTTGTGTCCCCAGGATGCAAGCCACAACAGTCGCTCAGATCAAGGGCGCCTATGGCACTACTAACTGAACAGTATCATCAGCAAACATGTTCATAAAATTCTGTATTCCTTCTGGTAGATGGTTTATGTAGAAGATGAACATTACTGGTGCAAGAACTGAGCCTTGTGGTACTCCCCTAGTAACACTCCTCCAGTCAGATACATTGTCTCTGATTACCGCCCCTCATCTGTCTGTCAGTTAGAAAATGTTTCATCCATGTCAGAAGTCTCCCTGTCACCCCCTCCAGCATGTTTCAGTTTCCCGAAGAGTCTTTTGTGTGGGACTCTATCAAAAGCCTTTTTTAGGTCCAGATAAACACAGTCAACCCAACTAGCTCTTTCCTGTAGTGTCTCTGTGGCTCTATCATAAAAAGATTTGTTACGCACGATCTTCCTGTTCAAAAACCATACTGGTATTTTATGTCACTTCTCTCTAGGTGTTCAACCCATTTGGCTTTAATCATACATGATCGTGTATGACATGATCACACACTCGGTGTGTGCGTGTGTGTGTGTGTGTGTGTGTGTGTGTGTGTGTGTGTGTGTGTGTGTGTGTGTGTGTGTGTGTGTGTGTGTATTCACCTAGTTGTATTCACCTAGATGTGCTTGCGGGGGTTGAGCTCTGCTCTTTCGGCCCGCCTCTCAATTGTTACTAACTATTTTTTTCCCACACACCACACACACACACACACCCCAGGAAGCAGCCCGTGACCGCTGACTAACTCCCAGGTACCTATTTACTGCTAGGTGACAGGGGCGTAGTGTGAAAGAAACTCTGCCCATTGTTTCTCGCCGGCGTCCGGGATCGAACCCGGGACCACAGGATCACGCGTCCAGCGTGCTGTCCACTCATGCAGCCACCCAGCCACCGGCTCCCTGTACTCACCCAATTGTACTCACCTAGTTGTGCTTGCGGGGGTTGAACTCTGGCTCTTTGGTCCCACCTCTCAACTGTCAATCAACTGGTGTACAGATTCCTGAGCCTACTGGACTCTATCATTGTTACGGCCCTACTGGGACGCAACCGGGTTCTTCTCTGATGGTAGTAGAGTTTGGGAATCCGGCCCCAAGTTAGTAGAGGCTTTCAAGGGGTGAGCCCGTAACGCAAGTTTAAACAATAGGGGAGGTACACAAATACTCCTGTTTTCTAATATATGTATATTCCCTTATATATTCCTTTATCCCCTTTTATATATATATATATATATATATATATAATATATATATATATATAGATTATATATATATATATATATATATATATATATATATATATATACCCACCACCGTATGTAAAAGACACAGGAATTATTACTACACTATTATATAAAGTTTAGTCTTCCTCTGAAGACACTTGACACTGTCACGCTCACTCTGGGTAGCCCTGGTTCCTTCTTCCGTGGCCCACGATGAATCCACGATGACTATTACGAATCTACACTGGCCACAGGCCAGCCAAATCACAGTCCCACTGGGTGCTTCGTCGTGATGGCCTTCAACCACAATCCAGCCTGTAGCTGGCAGGTACCTGATCAGCCTCGCTGTTTCGGCCACTCTACGACTGATGCTAGGGTTGCGAGCCCTAGCCAGGAGCCTCGTGTGACTCGCTAGTCACTCTCCTCATACAGCACCCCAGCGGGTGGTCTCTTCCACCAGCCAGCCCCGGATAAGGCGATCCCTGACACTGCCACTCCTCAGGCAGGCTATTGTACTCTCAACAGAGTTCGTCGCTTGGGGTGGCTCACAGCTTCTTCAAAGCAGACTGGTGAAGAGACCTTGGCTGCCTTGGGTAGACTGATCCATCATCCAACATAGCAGTCCCAGGTCGACTCTGCAAGCAGACACGTCATTAGTATACTGGGACACTACCTGGGACCACTAGGAAACATCACTTACTAGCTTAGACACAAACGTCCACCTCTTCACTCCATAGATGGCGTTCACTGTCTAAGCACTACCTCACCAGAGGTCAGCAGCAGCT